TGGTCTCGTAAACTATACATCTGCTGGTAAAATAGCTATGCTGTCTAATATTTAGGATAGTTAAGTGCATATTTGCAGCAAACCATTCTCAACATTTCCCCAGCCCGTTTCATAGTACCTACCCTTCGAACTGCCCGCCGAGTTCGACTTTGGGAAGTATATTTGGGGCACACACGGCGCCGAATGGGCCGCCATCCAAGAGGCAGGGCGGTTCCAGGATGAGCTTCGTTTCTCCTAGGGGTATAACCCTTAGAATAAGAGATAGTAATCCAAGGCAAAGGAAAGCCTTAATTAATCAGTCATCTAAACTACATTAAGGTTCGCCAAAGCGTTTGCTTAAATGTGTTGAGAGTCGTCCATAAATTTGGCAATGGCCTCTTTGGATGTTCTGCTTTCCATCACGCGACGTCTTTACCTTTGCCACGCACTTTGCGTTTTTTCAGGAACTTGTAGACTGCTCGTAAAGCTCCAAAAACAATGACATAAAACATGGCTATCTCCAAGATTCTCTTAAGAGGGCCCTGAACATATGGAGCGGGTATTGTGCTGCGAATGATATGAGATTTGGGGACCGTTTATGCAGCATTCCAGAGCATTGTACCGACACTGCATCTACATGCTGAATGCTAATATGATTCTTATAATCTAATAAGTGGATTAGTATCAGTCTTTATCAGCTTTACTCGAGAATTGACGCTATTTGCTATATGCGCCCTATTATTGCAGTGCCATGATCGGACGCAGGAGGGTCTAGGTTGGAACCACTATTCATCCACAAATAAAGGGACCATATGATACGACATGCAACGCATATTAAGAATCGAAATCTCTCCTTGTTTGATCGAAGGGAGCTTGCAGTCCGTATCCCATTTGCCACGGGGCGGCGGTCAAGGGGGAGTGAACAGCGCATCGTCATGCAATACAAGTCAAGCAACACGAAGGCATTCGCGAATACAATCTGACAGACGATGAGATCTGCATTCGGGGTATATAATGGATCCTTATCCAAGTGGTATTGGCTGATCAAAGCCTCTATGTACAATTACCACAGTCTACAAAGTATATACACGGGAACAACCACCCCATCCACATGAGTCGTAACTCAAACTAACTGGCCCAGCCAGCTTAGTATTCAACATCAGCGTGATAGTTGTTGGTAGTAAACACAGCATTGGTACCCTCAAAAGGCTCAGTACCAGCACCCACGCTCTGCAGGATCTGGGAGCTGCTGACGCCGTGGTTGTCGACGAGATAGTCGGTGAAATCTGCCAGGTCGCCGCAGAAGTTGTTGACGTCTGACTCGGCTACGAAGCTGAAGACAGTCATCTGGTTGTTCTTTCCTTGATACAGCTTCCATGAGGTACCGGCGAGCTCGACGGTTGCGACGGGTGATCCGTCGTTGCTGATCGGTCCAGCTCCTCCCAGAGCTGACAGCCAGATCATGAACTCGTACTCGGCGTCTCCTGACTCTGTAGAACTCGTAAAGAGGTCGTACGCAACGTTGGCAATGATTCCATCGCCAGTATAAGTCCAGTCCCAAGCCGAAGGAATGCTCGAAACCTCCCCGAGAGTCTTCTTCTCAATCTCAACAACAGCGTTGGGATACGACTTGACCTGCCCCTGACCACCGGTCCAGGACCACTCGACGGACCAGGCGATGCTGCCGTCGCTCTGCTCGCCGCTGTTGGTGGTGCACTGCTCCCCAGACTCGGCATTGTCCTTGCCCCAGAGGTTGTTGTAGATGGTGTAGGCTCCCGCCGTCTCGGAATCCCACTGGCCGCAGAACTGGCCGCGGGGAATCAGGCGGGTTGGTGAGGCAGCGGCTAGACCGGCTAGAGCTGCGACGATGGCGGACTTCATGGTTGATTATTAGAGAGTGTAGATGAGTGAATGAGTGGTATGATGTAAGAATCACAAGGAATGAATGAGAGTAAAAGAACAGTAATGAAAATGAATACAATAAAGAATGTTTGTTACTACAAAGATCTACATTGCCAACTCTGACATTTTATCACTTTTATCCCCCTTTGAGAAACCGCCCCTTGATGGATTATCTGTAGATTATCTGCTCAGATGACGTTCGAGGTGGTTTGTTCCTCTCGCTATATACAGATGATGAACCCCGGGTCAATTGAGTTTTCGCTCCATTCGGAGCCGTCACCGAACGAGGCCGGCCGGGATCAGCGGCCGGAGAAGGTGGGGCCAGCGGCCGAGGTCCGGGGTGCGAATGGCATGACTGAGAGGGTCCTTAATAAAGCTGACGGTGGACGTGGTGTGATTTGTTTCTTGGTTCTTTGTTTCGTGTTTGGGTATCGTCTTGTTCTCCCAAGTCTGTAACAACCGTGAGCAGTTTTGAACATCATGAGAAGATGACTCTACCGTACGACCTGTAACACGTTTGTTTCGCTGCCAGAGCGAGCCCTGCCTACCAGGCCACGCAGGCCCCGATGTTGTTCGGACCTCTTCCTCCCCCCTTGTCCTTCTTGTCAGCATGCATCATCCGACGCCCGCAGCCTGCCAAGAACGCCGTCTCGTTGAGTGACCCAACCCCCTGGGCTCTCGATCTTTGTCCATGTCACATACGGATAGACAAGGCTGCTCCGAAAATTCCGGGAGTCCGGGCTGGCAGACGGAACTATTTCGATTTTGGCCCATGCAAGGAGCGGGAGTGTCCGTCATCCACTTTGAAAGGACACTGTGAGGGGATTCCCTTCTTTTACCAGCCATGATGATGCTCTACACACGCCTCTGTGGTGCATCTCAGATAGCCTGACTAGTGTACGGTCTAATCTAGACCATCGGAGTTGATTCCCAGATCCCCGATCAGGGGTGAGATGTCCCCAAGAATGCAAGAGATGCAACACCGGTCGAGTGTGGTGCAGCGGCGAGCCCGGCACACGCCCTCCTCCTCCTCCCCAACCTGTGTCAACCAAGATTTAGTTCATCTTGATACTACCTAGCGTAGGGCGCACATGGGGATTGGCAACTATCTCCGTCGTACTAGTTAGTTTGTCCATGTTCCCGCAAAATGTCGCGCAGTTACATCCCGTCCTCGTGGTAAAGGATACGAAAAAGAACTCCTCTATGTTGCATTAGAAAATGTCTCTACAAGGTTCATCTGTACAAATCCTGCGTGGATTTTTTTTCCACTCATATTGGACCCGACTGGCTGGTCTAGGCCCTGTATTAATCTCCACGCTGGGGAACCGGGCATTTTAAATAAAACGACATGTCAACTTTTCGTCGGGTTCGCGACGGATGAATCCAGCCAACGAGAGAGGCTGGATCGAGGCCGACGGCTCGGGTCGCTGCGCTAGCGCTCGAGAGGTTGCATCACTCACTGTAACAGAAGCCTTTACCATTGCCCCCAGGGCATCTTCATAGACAGTTTCCCCAGAAGAGAAACCCTCATGTAAGCCTCATCGCGTGAGGTCTCAGTTGAGAGATACACAAAAAAAAAACTCTTGGGTCTGAACCCTTCATTCTGGTTCCTCAACAAAGGACCCTGCATCAAATTGGAACACAACCCAGACCGTGAAAGAACTCCTCCGCCAAGACTCCAAAGACATGAGGCACGAACTGTCAGATCTCGACCAGGCGGTGCAAGTCAAATGGACATTCCAGGTCGCGGAGTCGGTTTGACGCAGGGGCATGGGGTCTTTCTCGAAGAACCAGCGTCAAACACCACACGACTAACCGGCGGGCGCGCGTGGCATCGACGAGTCCCATTGTCTTGGGACCGATAACCCCCCCCCTCTTCTCCAATGTTCCTGTTCCTGGAATGCGAGGGGGTGAAGGCACTGGCCACGTCGCAAGTCTGGAGTACGAGTACTCGGGAAATGGAACCCCCTCCATCCATCTAATGCGAAAGGCTGTAAAGGGATGTCAAGAGAGACTCTTAATCAGATCAACCTTTGTAAGCTTTGGATCCTGTTTCTCGGTTCTGTCGCGCTTTGACACATCTCAGCTGAATACCATCGCAACTTATGCCCCGAATAATTTGGGAAAACGAAAAGAGGGCTGGGACGGAACTACTCCGATACAGGGGATTAACTCAGGTACCTGCAGGACATTTCATGATTAAAGTTTACAGTTGTCTTGAACGCTGTAAGCGAACATTTCCCGACACGAAGTTATAGTGGATAAATGATATCCGCATCGTCTCCGTAAAGTCCGTTGTCAGCTTGTCATGGGAAACTTGCCTTGGGAGTGGCGAGATGTTACAGGTCACTACCGTAGTTGGCAACTATCGACGATTTTGAGTTCCCATGATCCAAGAGTTTGGCCGCCGGCGGCATGAACTGCCAAGACAGGTAATGTTGATGTCTCACTTCCTTGAACCTGACTGGCTGGACGAAGACCCAGGTACCTGGGATTCGACCCTCGGTAAACTAGCTGGCAGCATTGCCTCATCAGCTGAGTTGGTTCGAGCATCATGTCATGTTACAGGTCTCTTGCAATGACGTTGAGCATCGGAGTCATGCATCCGAGGGCAGCATAATCCTAAATGGGACGCCCGTATCTAACGATGATCGGCAACTCTCGAAACGGTTTAGAGAGATCTAAAGACTCGATACGCGTAACAGCAAGTGACATTCGTGCTACAAACGGTTGTGAATAGTTACAAGGCCGTTTGACTTAGAGTGCTTCAAGATCTGACTTGGTTTCTCTCAAGTCGAGAGACTATAGAAACTCTAACATGAGAGTTTAACGTTCGCCCTACCTCCTAGGGAAAACAGGTTGGCCGTTTAGTCTTGGCTTTACCCGAGTCATGATTGTTGACCAGCAAGAGCCCCGTGGCCATCAGTTACCGGCTCCTAGTATGGTTCCCCGAGGCTAATTTAGCAACGCCAGATCTGTGTGAATGCCGACGCTAGCATCGCCCATCCCGAACGCCATCCGCTATCGTTGACTCCTCCGGCGCTAAATACATCATCGCTTACAACCAGTGGGCAGGGATCTGAATAGTCAAGTTGGTGAATGACTCTCCAAAAACCCCCCTACCGCCAGTATTGTGAGGGTCTACTCTGGGGCATCGACTCAAAAGTTGACACTTCCAGACGCCCCAGCCAGAATCCATGAGGCGACCCTGGGGGTACTCTCCGGCTGCCAAACTCCCTCTGCAGCTCCCGATATTTAGCCCTCCCAGCCAGTCGGAACCGTTTCAGCTCGACTAGGACATCCTTCATAGCCTCAAGGTTGGTCCGGGTCGGCGTTTCGATAGTCGGGGGCATTACCGCCATGCACCACGCTGTGTGAAATACCAAGGCTGAGGGGGGTATCCCCGCGAGTGTCTGTTCAGGTGTCGCCGGTCCGATATGATCGCGGATGTGGTGCTCCAACACCAACCTCCTATACTCACTTACGACAGAGTTGCCACTCACCTTGGGGCCAATCCATACCTGTACCTTGGTAAGCTGCTCATCCAACGAGACGTCTGCACTCAGGTATTCGGGTTCGTGTCGGACCGACTCGTCCTCAGGTTGACTAGGTTGACTGGGCAGACTGGAATTCAGGGTCTGGCTGATCATGGAGGATGGTCTCGGAAGCTGCGGTTGAACATCATCGTCAAAGAAACTGAAGCCTTTATCCCCCGAGTTCAACAATTCCTCAGCATCCAAGTCCTCGGCCATGGAGAAACCCTCCTCGAATGGATCAGGCTCAAACTCGAGCCGCAAATGTCTCAGACCAACCAGCGTGCAAGGTCCTCGGCGTGATTGAGTATCCGAGATGATTCGCTCCTGGATCGACAACAACTTCAAAAAGTTGACGAGTTTACTGATCAATGGGCCGCAAGACCTCCGCGGGATTCTCGTCAGAGTCAAGGACGTCAAGCGTGGGTTTGTGTCTGGAACTAGGGCCTGAGGAAAGGCCTTCTCGGACCGTGGTAGTATAGAGGTCTCGGCGGTATATAGGCGAGCCATGGTAGAGAGACCATCAATCTCCAGCGTCGGGATCTGCGTGACGACCGAGTGATGCAGCCTTACAGCCCGCAAGTTCGACGATAACACGGGCCGTAGCGTGTGCACGTACAAGTATCCATACAACTTTGCTGTCCTCGACCAGGCTCGTGCACTGGCCTTTGAAGGCGGGACCAGGGGCATTGAATCACAGCTGAATTGCTGCAAGTGTCCACGGCCGAGTGTGAGCAACTTCCGAATCCCGAGCGACGAGATTTGGTTGTCGGTTAGGTTCAGATGTGTCAGGCCTCGAGAGGACTGGAAACTGACCGAGGCGGAATAGGGATCCTCGCCTAGGAGGCCCCTACACACACCATCTGCCGAGTCGGGTTGGACGGGGCCTCTCCCGTCCAACCTCTTGAGCTGGTCTTCCTGCGGCAGGGCATCATGGGGATCATATGATGGTGCATCAACAAGATGTCGCTCGGGATGATCAAAAGAACCACTCCAAGGTGACTCCACCACACGGATCCAACTTCCGTAGTCTGGCGTGACCCTCCCGAATTCCAGCTTGCCCTCAACGTCAAAGTGCGCGTCGGAGCGCAGATCTGTCGGGTACAGGCACCGGGAGCCGAGAAACTCGAGTGCATGATCCGTCAGTTTGTTGTTGCCGAGATCAAGGCTCCACAGGCGCGTCTCAAACTGAGTGGTCAGGGCCTCGAGCGCGGCATCATCAACCTCCTTGTGCCGTACTTTCAGCACTCGCAGCTCCGGCAACAGGTCCCGCTGTAAGAACGGCCGGACGGAGCCTGGGGTGCCAGAGATGTCAAGGTACGCCAGCCCGCGAAGGCATTCGTATGACACAAACTTGGTGGGAAGCGGGATCGGACAGTCTGCCATGCTCAACAGCAGGACATGCCGCTCAGTGTGCATAAACTCAGCCGGGTTCAAATCTTGGCGTCCATCAATCAGAAAGCAGGACAGATTTGGCAAGGTCTTGACGGCTTCCCTAAGGCTATTGTTGGGGTTCCTACCCATGTTGAATGAATAGAGACCCCCAGCCATCCGCACATCAAAGACGCTCACAAGGCTCTTAGTCTCAGGCCTCATGCGGCCGAGTTGGCCAAAGACAGAGTTGAGCAGCCATCCAAGGCCTAGAACCGTCAGCAACAGGTCGGCTTCCTTTGACAAAGCCACAGAACGAGGCTCTGCAGCATCAGGCTCGTAACTTGCCATCTTCAGAGTCTACGCCAACATCTCTCCCCGACTGCGCAACATCCCTCCATAGACGTGGGGCAAACATGTCCCAGAAGCGACGGTTGACGCGGCACAGGGCGGCATAGTCACGAGGCGAGATGTACGGCGCCACAAGGCGGAGCCAGTCAACGGAGACGGCTTCCTGGTAGGAAGGAAGCGAAGCCATGAATCGCGTGTGTATGCGCTCTTTTTTTTTTTAGATGAAAGTTTGCCCGGGTAACAAAGAAAGGGACCTTTTCCGAAAATGCACGGCAACTTGAGGCCTGAATGGCCCCCGCTCCGATAATGGTGCCACCAACAAGCAAACAACCAGAGAAGAGGGGGGGCTGGGGGCGGCACGTGCCTGAGTGAATAGGCTGTAATAGACTCAAGAGAATAATGAAGCTCCGCTGCTCAGCTGTTGATGAATATCGCGTCGTCGGCTGAAGTGGAGGATGGTTTTCGGATGATGAAGGTGGAGGGATTGGCAGACATTGGAGCCTAGGCCTGCTACGCACAGTCCTCTTTGTGAGCCTCCACCTCCGCCAACGCCAAGGGCATCCAGACTGGGATGAAGACGACGACACCGAAAAGGCCAGTAAATGATATTCATTAAGCGACAATCAAGAATGATAAATCACGATAATAGTAGCTCTACTATATAGACTAAGTTCTTAGTGTAGTTTGACAACTCAGAGGCCCCCATACTGTAGGTAGTTCGCAGCTGGTGATGGGGGCATCCCCCAACACCCACCATCTTGCCTTTACTGCGTCATGATGCAACGCTCCATCTGGCCCTGATCGCCCTAGGATCGTGACACTTCCCCAAGATCTCTCTATTCCAAGTTGATCGCCAAGTAAGTTTCTCCGGCAGGCTACACAGCATCTCTCTCCACTATATCTCGCCTACATTTCTTCTTTCATATCTATCACATCTCACAGGAACAGAAGCAATTGTCAATCGTACTGTACTACCTGACCTTCTCCGCACGGCGTACGTCGATCACCATTCATGCCAGGCGCTGAAAACGGTCATGTCGTCTTTTCTTTTTTCTTCCAGGCCACTTTCTTTTTTCCCACTCCTCTGTTTTTAGCTGCGTCACTGCCACTATCATAACTGACGGTTCTGCTGTGCAACCATCCACTCTAGCGCGTGGCTTTTTTACTCAGATACGGATCTCCCTCGAACCCCTCCGTATTCGCTACAGGTACGAGCTGGGATGGGTTGAGGAACCAACAGCAAAAACATGTTTGTATCACGGCATTTGTTTCTTACGTTCATTTTGCCGAGGGAAATCAAGAGAGTTTCGGCAGTGGGATAAACTCTATCTGATCACCCGTTACAAAAAGTCCACTTGCCGTGCCGGGGAAAAAACGTTGACAAAGGATCCAAGCTGAAGCCATTCCCGCTAGTCTCCCGTCGCAGGCGAGCGCCAATCCTCCAAAGAGGCAAGGCTCGACAGACCCTCTTTGCCATAGGCGTCTTGGCTCCGTTGACCACTCTGGGGACTCGGTCGGAAGCTGAACTGATCGCCGAGGGAGGCTGAATGAATGGATGAACCTGTTCTGTCGTTGGTGTTGGTTCGAGCATTGATGGCTTCAAATTGTGGACACTGTTCAATTCCCCAGAATAGATAAACGCATTTTCCCCAAAGCAAAGAAGACAAGCCCGTCATCTGTGTGTCTGTGCCCCTGGATCATTTACATGCTGTGTTAGGTTCCAGAGCCTTCTTCCGAATCAACATCGTTACACAAGCCTCGTCTCATCTCGTCCCATTCCATCCAACACACCCACCACCACAGTCTCGCATTGGACGTCAGTCAGTCTGAGTAAACATGGCTTGAGACTGGGACTGGACCCCTCTCTCCAGCTCAACAATAGCAGCCAGGATAGACCCCTCTCCCTCGCACACAACTCACACACAGGGTCCACGGCCCTGTGTCAGCCCTCTTTCTCAGCCCCCAATCGACAAGCACTCCTCACTTTTTCATCACATACACTCTTGCTTCTCTCAGATAATACAAATCGAAAGCGTTGGATCAAGACAGATGCAATGCAATACTACTAATGAGCCCCTAACGTCTGCAGATCCTCGCTCATTCCCCTTATCAGCACCACCGTTCAGCCCCATAAGGCCAACTCTTGGCATTCCCCCAGTTCCATCGTCGACTGGTCTGATTTACGCACTTGGTACCAAAAACTAAAAGCCATGATGAGCGAGTGAGCGAGCGGACGAGCCCATCGCCATTTCCACTCTGCCCTCCTTATGCAATCTCCGCCATTCTGCATGCCTCGACCTGTGCATCAGCCTGCAGTTATGCATATCCTGCCACCTATAGCACATGTTGACCTTTTTCTTTTCCTCAACGGGCGGCGGCGGGTGAGAAGGGGAGAAGGGGAGGGGCCCCTTGTCTCCCATCCCACATGCTCTCACTCTCCACCACGGCCCGCAGAGCATGCGAGACAGTCGACCAGACCATCCGTCGGCCATTGTTTTGTCCCTCGAGCTAGTCTTGACTGGAGTCCTCGACTGCTTTCTCCACTGCAGCCAATTAGTAGAGGTGGTCTACATTCCTCGCGTCGACATTGGTCGAGGCGAAGACGCAAAAGACGCCATTGACATTCCCTCACTATCAGAACAGCAAAACAGACAGACGCGCACTTTTCACTAGACCAATCTCTCTCGTCGATTGACATTCTCTTAGTCAAACGCCATGTTTTCGCCTCCCAGATGGTCACCGACCAACAGCAGATTTGTGCAACGTATCGACACGGCCAGTCACTTGTCAGATCCCGAAACTCATCGCGCACCTCTCTCCCACCAAAACCCAGCGCAGTGGAATACCTACCGCTTGGCTGCATCTCACAGAAGAAACGAGTCCGTGTGTGCCCTCAAAACTCCAGGCCCCGGCGCCGGACTGGCTTGGTCTGGTCTGCTTTAAAGTGGTCCCGTTTGACTCGCGGATCGACGGTTCCTCGCCCGAGATCTGAGACAGTATGGGGTCTCCATTGTAAGCGAGTATCCTCGCCCGTCAATGATATGCTGGGAACCCAAGCCGCAACTCGGTGGCTCAATGTGCGTCAGGCTCCTTTCTTCTTCCAATCAGAGGCTTGGTTTCTTCAACCTCGCGTCTATCATATTTGATATCGTTTGCCTCATGTCGCCACGTCCCCTCTTGGAATAGGTAGCCAGTCTAGAGTCCAATGCCAGCGTTGCCAAACTACCACAAGTCATGATGCTAGCAGGTTGTCTTCGTTCCTGTCTCCCTTGGTCTCTCTAGTCCACTTGGCCACCAAATCTGCCTTGGTCATCCATTCACCATCGTCACATCTCCGCGCCATAACTCCACGTCAATCATCCACTCGACGCCACCTTCATCACGTATTGCCTACTATCATCATGTCACAACGTCTCAGAGTCCTCTTCAAGCATTGGAAAGTAAATGGTGAAAATGATTCATCTTTTTTGAAATACTAACTGGGCTTTCCTTTGCTCACTCCAATGCCCACCACCTCATCTCCTCTGAGCTAATCCATCATCAAGAATGTGGAATACAGCCGTGACAAAAACCCAACAAAAACTTAACAGAAATGATTCCTTTCGTGTGACACCGGTACAGAACCCCCGTGAAAAAACGCCTCGACACCGCCGTTAATGGACTTGGTTGTGTGTGTGTACAACAAATCATGCAAACCAAAAAAAACAATCCCTTACCGCCTCTTCTCAAGTCAAAATCGTACAACCATTACAGCTTCAATCCTCTCGTCGTCTCTTTCCTCGTCGTTGGTCTTCCCAATGGAGCCTCTTGCTTGAGCCACGCATTACTGTGCTGCTTGTGGCGTCGACATGACGGCCAGGCCGCAGATGCTATAAGCCTCTCGTCTCTTTTCCCAGCTCCGCTTCCTATGTCGAAAATGTTGAATGTGAATGTGTGTGGCCAAATATGTAAGTAGGTGTGTGTGCGTGCATGTCTCCAAGCGGATGGTGCGGGTGTGTTGTGCTGTATGTCTCATCTGAGCGTCTCCACTCGCTCCTCTCGACTGTCTTGTTTTCTCGCAGGTGGCGAGGGTGCAGTTCCTTCAAGCAAGGTACCCGGCGAGGATGAGTCCATGTGTTCTGCTCAGTACTCGGGGTCCCGCTTCTCGGCCTTGGCCTTTGACGGTGCTCGTCGCTTCCTGCTGCGCTCCTCCTGCTCGATCACAGGAACTGCAGCTGGGATGAACTCAACTCCACGGTTACGGCTATTGGGTCGCGCGTGCAGCTTGCGGTGGTTGTTGAGGTTGTCCTGGCGGTTGAACTGGTCCTTTCCGCAGAACTCGCAAGAGAAGCGGTTGGGGCCTTCACCGTGAAAACTGTCAAGTTGGTTAGCCACTGTTTGAGGCTCATCACAAGGGAGGTAGTACTCACGTTTGCTTGTGACGCTTGAGGTGCTCGTTGCGTCGGAACGCCTTGTGGCAACCAGGGTAATCACACTTGCACATCGCCCTTCGGACAACATCAACTTGTGCGGATTCGGGCTTGTCAGATCGCTTCCGTGATGATCGAATCTGGGCACGCTGAAGCTCTGTGGTCTTTCGCTGAATCTCGTGCACCATCATCTTTCGCTGAGCACGCATGCGGTTGGGCGAGTTGGGGTCATGCAGAGAATAAGCACCAAGCGGTGACTGGGAGTGTCGGTCAAGCTCAAAAGACTCAAATTCGTTCGAGAGCTGCTTGTTGGGGAAGAAGGAGATGGGGCTATCGTTGGCGCAGGACCAGGATGAGGCGGTGTCGGCAGCTTCAGAGCCTGATAGGCTCTGAGTGGGTGTCATCATGAAAGAGGCTCCCATGGATGTCTCCGGAGAGTATCCATACATGCCAAAAGAATTGGATGGTGTCAATGATCCCATGGAGCCTTGGTGAGCCATGTTCATCTCAAGCATCTGCTCATAATCGAAGCCCATATGCTCTCGCTTGATGGGAGTATTGGGAAGACCATCTGAGAAAGGCATATGCTCATGCTCTGTCTTGATAGGGCCAAAGAGGAACTTGCCCATCGAGGATGAAGGAGGAGTCAGCTCAGCTCGTTGCGAGGACGCGCTGTAGGGGCCGTCGAATTCCATAGTGCCGAATTCATGAGGAGTAGACCGTCGAGATGTAGGCGTGAAGGGGTCATAGGCGGATGAGGCGGATGAGAAGCTAGTCGAGGTTGAAGGGCAGGACATGGGTTGGCTGCATAGGCTGAAGCTGTCGTCCATGTCGAACCGGAAATCCGACTCGAACTGCATCTTGATGATGATAAAAGGGAGTGTGGGTGAAGGATTAAATGATAGAAAGAGGAGTGTTGGAATAGGTGTATATGTCTGAGTCCCCTTGAAGAGAAGGGCAACAGTTCTCAGCGTTGTTCCAAAGTCTAAAGAGGCTCAGTCGAAACAGTCAAGAGTCTTGGTGCTTGCAGGCTCTGAATGATCTGTGAGTCTTGTCGGAATGCTTTTTCGACAACGAGGACGGACGCCCTTGAAGATATAGAGAACGAGGTGGAATGAGCTCTGCTGTAAAGAGACCTGCGGCTTTAAGACATCCACTCTGCAGATCAACCACGGTAGATCATCAAATGTACCTGGTGCTAGTCGTAAGTGACCGAGAGACAGGAAGTGCGCTGCAGCAGGCAAGAATGCGGACCGGGGTCGATGGTCTGTAGCCCGATCGAGATCAGTCCCCCCAGGAGTAGGGCGGGAGAGGCGTGCTCCACTGTGGATTCTTTACAATATTACTCGCATAGAGAGGTGTGATGTTTTGGATGATGGTGTATCAGTTATCATCAAGTGTCCCTGGGGATGTTTCGCTGTGCCCCTCGAACACCCTCAGCTCGGCTATCACACTACTAGTTATAACAAGAGCAGACCCGATAAATAGACCATGACAGACTTGGCACTTGATCCGAGCGGCGGGCACTTGAGCACTTGACTCGAGCCAAGGCCAGAGGAAGGCGCAGGACGTTAAAAACGAGAACAAAGGATGTCATAGTGGTCGAGCTACAGTGAACAAGCTTGTTAGCAGCGCTGGCGTACGAGCCAACTGTGGGCGTGTGCCAACGGGGTCCCTGACGCCAGCGCCAGTGTGGTTCCTTGAAGCCACACCTTACCAGTTGAGCCTTTTGCCCTGAACCATGCTGCGGATCCCGACGGAGGATGAGGGAGGAGGGTGGATGCGCACACACCTGAAGCCCAGGATCAATATGGCCCACGGCCAGCAAGAAACCAGATCGGTCCCTGCATAGTTCATGAACCGTACCCCATGGGGTGGGCTCTAGTGAGGTCCGGCGCCAACCCACTATCTCACCCATCTGCCACTGGATCTGTCAAGCCTTCAAGACTATTCACCACACCTCCCCTCCATCCCCAGAAAGCTCAGCGAGCCCCATAGCTGCCATGATGGGTGCACGAGCGGGGGCATATCAGATCTCGTTTGGGACCGCTGATTCTTGCCCCCAGCTGTAATGGACAGGACACCGAGGAATGGGACAAGACTTGGAATGGACCAGGTGAAATTTCCGCCTAAAGGACCGTCGAGCTGAGACAAGGCTATTATGGCCGAGAGGACCCGAGTTGTGTGTTCCTGAGTGTGCCTGGACGTGTAACTCTCAAGGAGAGACAGTCCCCATCCACAGTGGTCTGGGTGTTCAATACTCGACTCCCTTTGGCCCTCTCAGGTAAGAAGCATCAATAGAAAAGATGCCCTCAACAGATGAAGATGTGGAGACTCTGGGTGTCTGCAAAGGGGGCAAAGCAGTGATCTGGCCCTATGTGGGAAAAGCAATAAGACTGGTGTTGCGGCGCAGGTCTCACTCAACGCGACCTGCGGCTGTTCCTGAGGGCGCATTATCAATTATGACGGTACGTATTCACAAAACGTACTGTCCTTGGACCCAGTGACCTTGGGGAGCCGGCCGTCGGGTTGGTGACCCCTGTTCCGATATGGACGTTTCGGAGCGTTGTGCCGTTGACAAGCAACGCGGGAAGACCAACGTCGGCCTCTCTCTCCAGGCTGATCGCCATGTGCGCGGGAAATTCGTGATGTCATTCCACGCTCGGCACCTGTGCAGTCCAACAAGGCTGGCAGTTGGCTGGCCAGGGCTTCAGGTCCGGTGAAAGAAGAAGCATCGACTAGGTTGCAGCGCAGGAGGGTGACATGGGTGCAGTCGACCAACGTGCCTTGGTGTGGTACAGGCCGAATAGTGCGCATCTTGAGAGGACGAACGACCTCGCGCCGAGCTAAAAGACGCGTGTGAGCATGGGGAGGGCGGCTGTGGGGAGTGAGAACAGTAGGAAATGGGCATCCAGACCCTATTGACGTTTGAGAGATGGTCAGCCCGATCCAGAGCCTCACGGGCATCAACTACCATAACAGGTTTACTGTGAGCCACGCACGGTTCTCGTTGTTGACTAGCCCCAACGCTTGGAGAACGGTCGTTGTCCTTACGGACAGTGCGCGCGCACCATAAACGAATCCTCGGGTTACTCAACATTAGCTTGGCAGCTGGAGGCGCTGGGAGGCTGTGGTGTGGATTGTGGTGGGCTCGTCACGGCTGGCCGATCGAGGCTACTCGGCCGGGGAGGCCAGGCCCTGGCCAAGTCCAAGTCCAAGGTCCCGAGGCGTTCAAGCTGAGAGCCGACGGCCAAAATAATGATATGTCGCTCAACCATGGTGGACGCTTTCTCAACTGTCGGGGAACGTGTCAGGTCCGAGAAACTGCCAACATTGCGGACTCGGCGCCGCAGTTGAGAAGAGGGCAAATGACAATAGTTCCAGCTTCCCTCGATTTCCTCATTTCCTATGTCTTCATCTTTTGGCAATATCTGTAAATCTATCGTCTTTCGAAGGGTCAAAAAGTTAAAGGGTTAGAGGGGTAATGGAGTCGTGCCCGTTTCTGTGGCCATCAAGGCGCCCTGAGAACGCGAACGCGCTCTGGATCAAGGGCGACTGGAGTCATAACAAAGGGGCAGATAGCAGCACTTCGTTAGGGCGTTAGCGGTCCCTCGAGCAAAACCGCTAACGCGAGGCTCACGGGAGTCCGTTCGTCGCGGCAGCAATTAGACAAGGCTCTTGGACGCACTGAATCATTATAGGACAAGATGCGTGGTTCTGTCATCGGCGTGGAGCCCGGTGGTGACCCCGTCGCGGAGGCCGCAGGTCAAGGGCCCTCTTAGCGTTGCCGGTCGATCTTCCGGGGCCGATCCAGGGATCCTCCTGGGAAGCTAGGAACCGAGAGAGCAGGGCAGGGAACGGGGCGGGGGTAACGTTAGGTCGTGGGTACCGGACAGGCTGAATCGGCTCTTCTCACGCCCCTGGCCGGCTGATGGTAGGTTTACGGATGAGACATTGCGATGGATGGATTGGCGGTTGGTAATAACTCAGGAACTACTGCGCAATACGGCCACCTAACGGAGTCGAGGAACGAGGAACGATGGACGGTATGCGCACTGACGCGTATCGCACTGTGCTGCGATGCCCCTTCCCATTTGGGACAATGCCCTGAACTGCTCCTGCTGCTCCTGCTGTACCGGCAACGCCGGGTTCGGCCCCCGCCAAAATCGTTCTTTTTCCAGGTCCATTTTTCTTTTCATCTCCATCATGGCTTTCGCCTCTCTCTGCCTGTCTGTCTGTCTGTCTGTGTGGACTGTCTTTGTCGGGCTCCATTTTATCTGCACTTCATTTCTCAACGTCCTGTCGAACAAAGAACGCCTACTGCAGCGAACGAGCGTGGCAGCTGTGCCTGTAATCCAACCACATACCGACCTACCCACCTCCTGCATTTGCTCGTCATAGCGTAAGTTTTCCAGCGCCTCAGAAGCCAGAGATGGGGACAGAGATGGGGATTGACTGCGTTGACGCGCCCTAGTCAGATAACCATATCCACTTCCCGCTCAGTCTCGCGTGCTTCAATCCTCCTAGTCCCCCAGCACCCCAGCCATCAGAGCTAGTTCCCATCGGGGCTCCGGGTGCCTGTCCACAGCTCTTCAGCTCAATTGATTAGATGAGCACTGAGTAATCCTCGATATGGATCCCAGGCCTCGCTCATCGCCGCTGTCATCCCGAAATGGTCTTGCTCCGTCCCAGTTCCGACACTGGATATCCGATCATGGGATGAGCTTTTATGTGCAACCACAGACACACTCCAATGTTTTGTGTCACACAGGATCAAACGGCTCTCTCTGTTCAAACATCCAAATCTCTTCAAAGCGGCGATCTCATGTCGACTTGCTTCTTGGCCGCACAAATGTCATCATCGATCTGCCAGCTCTCTACCGAGTCTCACCCCGCGTCCTTTGGTCCGCGACTCTCCTTCCATCTCCAGAGTGACAAGCCCTGCTTCTGCTACTCCTGTCGAGACCTTGTGTTGGATAATCCAAGACTCGACAGGTTCTCGCAGAATGATCTGTCATATCCTGCCACCACTGTCAAAACCAAGGTGTAATCAGACAAATGTGGCCGCCTACTTGCGCCATCCACGCCCTCGCACAGCACCGTTGCTTTTTTCCGCCTCCCATGGCCGGCCCTAGCGTCATCTGATGGACAGGGGTTCCCTAGGTGGTGGTCCCTCTTCCGTTCGCCGAGATGGCGCTGGAGAACTCTCTGTACGAATCGTTCAAGCGGCCCCAGACACGATATCCTGGGTTCACCTCTTTCAGCCCAGATGCGGAGGCACACTTACTAATTGCTAATGGTGTTATCATCGTGTTGGCCTTTTTGGGACATCCCTTTGGACGGGCGGACGCGTCTTGCACAGCTAGACTAGCAGCGTTATTATGGCGATTGCCTATTCAGTGCTGTCTCCCTTCAAAGGGTTTGTCAAGGGCACCACAAGCTGCTTCTCTTGCTCTCCCTCCTTCTCACTTCTCAGCATCACCGAACGTCTTTACGCACCTATTGCATACTATCAGGCAAGCTACTGTACCCTCAGCCGTAAGCAGCCAAAAGCCGATGGCCTAGTGGCGGCTCCATGATCAATCCGCTCGGTAGCAGTGGCTCCCGCTGCGGGCTCTCGCCAGATATCCCACAATAGAGCAGCCTGTGACAGTCCAATGCAACCATTTTTGCGGGCTTGCAGCGCCAGCATTTTTGCGATTTTGATATATGACGGGAAGCTCGTCTTGTCTCCTGATCTCCGGGGTCTTACCCCTCGGGATGCCGCCGGCAAAGGCCTCTCCACATGAAAAGCTTGGCTCGGATTACACTCTGCAATGCTGGGCATGCGACTTTTGGGTAGCTCCCGCACGCCTCGCCTCTCCGGTGCCTGGTGGGCTCTCGAATTGTTGCTTTGTTTCTGGTGGTGGTCCTCGGTTCCCCTCGCGTGGCCCACACTGAGTCAGGTCCAACGACCCATTCTCTCCCATACCTACGAGGATCCAGACTCATTATTTCTTTGACTTGGGAGCTATGGGATCTCGCGATCGCCGATGCGATTCTCGATCCTCGGGGATGGTGGCAGACTCGGCCGGCATTACTGTATCTGATCTGGCAGCTCTGGTGTTCCACGGGGATCGGAGTTACACTGCATGCGAATCTCCCGAAGCTTGACGGGAGATGACCAACATGAGCCGCCAGGGGTCCCGAGTCTACGGTGGCCCTTGGGCTTTCAGTTACTGATTTGGCCTCGCCTACCGGATAATCATTATCCGCACTCTTGTGTCTGCTGGAGGGGAGGCCGCCACCCATGTGCCTACCAGCCAACTTACCTATGCATCGCCACTGTTACACCAGCTCCGTAGTATCTTGGCCATGACACAAGCAATCTACATTCTGGCAGATTCTGCACATCATGTCAGCACGGCCTCTTGTGCGACGTTGGGGCTTCCTTTTCTGATTCAACCGCACCTTGTGTTTCCCCAACCCGCCAGTGGCTTCTGACGCCCAGAGCTGTCTTCAACGGTTGGCAGTGGAATGTTATTAGAGCGCCTCCAAGTCAAAGTGACCGTTGAACGCGTGCCCACCGGCTTCTACAAGTGTGACCCGGAGCGATACCCCAATCTCAGGCCCTGTCGCCGCGTCCTCGCCTGTCCATGTAACATGCTTCAAGATGCTTCCCAACATGCGATATTGACAGGACAATCACCCTTTGTAATAATCCAATGTCATTTCAATGGTCAACTCTGAGATATATTCCCTCCTGAACAGGGCCACACCTCGGAAGTCCAAGGTTGTAGGGTAGGCGAGGTGTGGTTGTGGTGCCCCAATACCACAATACATGAAGGACCGCAATTGTGCTTGCTGAGGGTACTTAGGGTGGTCAGATCATTTTGCAACGCCTCATAACTCTATATGACATGATAGCTCACATGAAGCTGGTCTCGAGGCCCGTCGAGGGAAATATCGCTGTCTCGACCTGACTTGTGCTCTCCCCTCCGCCCACTCAGAGCCGCCCGAATGCATATCAACCTTTACTAGAGAGTGCAGCTCCGGCGACCTGCATGGTAGCGAGCTGTCAAGCTCTCAGATTCTGCGCGAAAAACGCTCTTGCAGACGATGACCTAGCGCGGCAAACGCCGCAATTCAATCTAGATGCTGCGAGAAGTAAAGCCTCAGCTTACAAGCCGAGATGCCGAGTTGACAACTCTTGGGGGTCATGGGCGCCAGACAAGACGCCCACAATATCTTACTCTTGGGGGTAAATGACCTGTCTCCACGATGGTTATGATTCAGCGTGGCCGTGGATTCATAAATACGCATGCCACATATCCCCATTCCCAGGCTTTGAGTCTTTGTCCCCTATACCCAACGGTTTTGTGATTTTCCCTCGTCTGCCTCTGCCCCCGACCCAGAATGTGTACCATCTGGAGAGTCAAATTTTCCTGCCGGAAGCCTGACCATCAAGAGTATATAACCCGGTGCGATCGTGGCCCTGACTGTCCTGTCAAGAAGAATTTGTCGCCCCCGGACAGGGGAGAGCGGGTGGAAACCTGCATGGTCGAAAGCCACCGTCAAGTCGATCCTCACCTGCCAAAGCCCAAAAAGTAGGCTCTAGAGGTTAGAAATCACTCGCCCTGTAGTCTGGTTCGTTTCCGCTGACAAGAGATTGTATAACGTTAGTCGGGCTGTTGGGAGGTGTGCCCGCCTGGGCCTTGAGCCTGCGGCGACGGATACCAAGCTGGAATATTATAGCGGGCGAACTGCTGAATCCTACCCCAACTCCCGGCCAAGAATCTTTTGGGGGATAAAAAACATGGGTCACCTCTTATTCGGAGCTCATGGCCCAGAGTTGATGATGCTTCTGGTTAGTGACTCCACCTGTACCCGGGCAACGCCAGTCATCATGATATTATCTCAACATTTGAGAGTCCCTGGAGGTCAGAAGTTGGAGATAGGGTTCTCGGAGGCCCTCTGCACCTTTGGGTGCTATTTAATTATCGTATACGAAACGATAAACGGGTTCCGGTGGCGCGACTGACGTGACGTAACTGTCGAGGTCTCAGTTGGCGGACTGAGATACAAACACTTTTGAGCCAGCCTGGAGCAATAGCAACGGAATATCTGCACAAAGCAAAACTCTCGAAAACTTCTAGTTGAACTATGGCGCCAGTGCCACGTGCTACACGGGAGTTGGCTGCTGCACAAACCTGGGTAGTCCGGCCGACCTGCCAGATATAGCAAAGATGAGATAGGGAAACCTAATGAAAAAATCATACGGCGGTCAGATATTCCCATGTTGTTTTCTATTGCAGATAAGCAACTGCCTTACGTTTTCAATTAAGGCTGCAACAGTCCGGGGTTTGCGTCGGGTATGTATGGGGCCGACGTGCAGTCTTGGGCGACCCGTGTAACCATCCCATGGGTTTTCACCTCTTGGCGCCTATTACAGTGCAGGGCCAGGTTTCCTGCATGTTCGCCTCGTCTGATATATAGTGAGTGATAGGCTGAGATTCAGGCAAATTCCCCGCGGTAAAATCGGACATTGCTGGAACACTATGCCCGTAACGGTCTCTGGGCAACTACATGTGCCGTGATGGCGGGACGGAAGCTGTGATTGCCGAGTATCACGAACCTTGTTTACTCGGACCGATGCTCTATGTGGAATTCTGCCTGACTGACAGAAGTTCCTATGCATTTCATTTTCTGACAATATCTAAGTTTACTTTTGTTCCATGTGGTTGGATTAGTCTACCACGGCCAGCTCAGTTTCAGCTTCCATTTCCTCGAGCACCTCATCCATCTCGGCCTGGGTAGCTTCCAAACCCTCGGAACTCATGAGCTTATTATCCTTGTCCTCAGCTGCACAGGGCCCGTGTGATTAGCGCGGCTCAAAACGTGGGTGGGGGCGGGAATGTAAGACTTACTTCGACGCTCGACAAGGAGATTCTCTTGGACCTCGCAATCAGTCAGGACTGACCCATCGCCAATCACGCATCGCTTTCCGAGGATGCACCGAGTTAGCTTGCAAGCCTTGCCGACAACTACACCTTCCATCAACAGGCACTGCGAGAGCTTGGCTCCTTCATTGATCTGCGAGTTGGCTCCCACCACGCACTCCTTGATGGACGTCTTCTCCTCGACGGTGACGTTTTCAGCGATGAGGCTGTCCTGCTTGGTGATGGTGGTGCGTGGTTTGACGCCTTCGGGGTAGGCGATTTTCTTCGCATGGGCATAAGGTGAGGCGGCCTCGGGACTAGTCTCCTCCAGTGAAGGCAGCTTGGCCAGCTGAAGTGAAATGGCAAGCAGCAATTGAGCCGTGTCCACGCGGCGGATCAGCGGTGCGGAGCCACCAGCCGAGTGAACATAGGCAACGATCGGCGGTACCTCGAATGGGGCCCTTTTGTCAGGCGACGACGACTCGCCCTCGATAGAAATTCCTGGTGTCGCCGAGTCGGCGGCGTTGACTTTCGGGGAGTATTGCTCGAGGCCGTGTTTTCCATCCGGACTGTGCTCCCTGGGTGACGCGGCGCCCTCGTGAGAGTTCTCTGCCGTCTCCTCGACTCGTCCGAGGCTGCAGACTGAGTCCATCTTGAGCTTTTCAGCTAGGCCTGACTGCCAGCCTGCCTTGGCCCACCATCCGATGACGTCCTCGCCGATACTCTCCAAGCGCTCGTTCTCCTTGATAAAGTCCAGAACCCACCGGGGGAAGATGTAGATGTGTGCGTCTCTGTGGGTAGTAAACATCCGGATGCGGGGGTGGGCTCGCAATAGACCATGGCGAACTGGGAAACCCTTTCGCTCTTCCGTGAGATCGTTCAAAGAGTCGGTTGGCATCGAGTACACAACCTTGGAGAGACTGGAGAATAGCGACCCCTTGGGAGGTGTGACAGGCGACTTGGGCAGGGGAGTCGTTGCGACAAAGTCAGTGTTCTCGCCCTTGACCGGTGTCGTAGTTTTCGTGTCATACCAGACACCCAATCCTCCACTTGGGAGCGAGCGGTGGCCATTGGAGAGTCTTGAGGCTCCCAGAAGGTCAGTCAGGCTGGCCGACTTGACCATCCAGGACTGAAGGAGCTTCTCTCCACCGAGTTCGCACACCAGATCGCATGGGAGAACAACAAAGTCTCCAGTAACAAGTTCCCTGATTTCTGGTAGCCTCAAGATCTCAGCTGTGCCCGTGTTCTGATCAAGATCCGCCGGCGAGAGAATGTCTGGCCGGGGTAGAGGCAGCGCTGTCAGGTAAGGATTGGTGTTGAGGGCAGTAGTGAGAGCAGCAGAAGCTGTGGGCGGGCAAATAAGAGTGATGCCTAAGTGGTATTAGATTCAGTATCGTATGCAAAGCGAAATGGCATATGGCAGTCCAGCTGCGGAGCAGGCTTCTGCTCTCAGCACCCAGTTGTGACTCACTCGTGATGCCCATTCGATAGCAGAAATCGATGGGATACCAAACCATAGGCCGGTTCGCAATCGGCAAAAGAGCCTTGGGGTTCTCATCGGGGTTGGAGGTGAATGTCGGAAATGAGGATCCAGGCCCGCAGAGAATGAGGGCTTGAAGCCCGGTTGAGGGCATCGAGACAGCGTGGGGCATGATGCCGCGGGGTGCCCTGGGCTGAAGTCGGTGCTGAGAGGTGTTGTAGCGAAGTGAGGCCTCTGTAACTTTGCGGATATGTAGATCTATAATCCAGCGATCGAATCGGCCTGCTGATGCTCGGGTGCAGGTCGCAGCTAAGTCGTTTTCATTGACATGCAGTGAAGAGTCACTCAAATCATCGCCAAGACCTCAAAAAAGTAGGTGGGATGTTCCACCTGTGGCTCAACGGCGACCACACCAGCCACAACCAGTAGCCACACCTAACGCCTGGGCCATTCACGTGCCGGAGCTGCAAGGCTGACCTCGGCGCGGATATTCAATAGTCCCCCGCAATGTTGCCCCTGAGCTCATCGGACCTCGGGTTGTTGACCCCGGGTTGGGTTGCTGGGGGTGGATGGCCTCAGCTCCACCCTCTTGTTGATGTTGGCGATACCAGCCACCGCGTTACAGATGAGCTGTATTTGACCATAAGATTTCGTTTTCATCGAGGCGGCGCCATCAATCCGTCGCAATTACCAACAAGAAGTATCCCTCGAATCTTCAACGACGTTACGAGGCCCTCCGCCCCCCTCTGCCACCGGCGCGTCCCCTCCACCTAGCGATGCGACAGTGCGCCGCTTAAATGTCTCCCGATCACGGATCGTCGCGGTCGCGACGGGGAGTTTGGAGCCACTGGGTGCCCCTCGCAGTTACTCTCACGGTCGCGACTGTGGGTGTAGCAGCTTGGGTATGGAGCCAGCGAAAGGACGAAGATGAAGACGAGCACCTTGCCGGACTCGACTACGACAACCAAGCTTATGGCAGTGGCCATGCCCGCCGCTCGGGGGACTTGGGTCGAAGCGATACCAGAGGACTGGAGAAAGGATCGCGATCCGACGAGCAGACTCACGGAATTAGGCAGGTGGATGAAGAAGCAACAAGCTCCGGAGGCTGGCGACAGTTCATCGACTCTACAGGTAAGAGTGTAGCCGCCGGCGTCGCAGCTACAGGCACAGCCATGGGCAAAGCCTTGGCCTCAATTCGCGAAGAAGACAAGAGTCAATATGGCGATGGCAACCCCTGGTCGGAGGAAGCAGATGCTAAGAGAGAACGAGCGCCTGCGACGGCACCCTCGCCCCTCGTTGGTGGCAAGCGACGTAAGACTGTCGCCATAGTAGTCTCTGCCGATACTCAGATTGGACCTGAGGATGACGACCCATTCCACGAGCACGCGGTAAGTAAATCTGACATTGAGTTCATTCATGTTAGGTACTAACACGGCATCCAGTCTATCTTGTCGCACATTCCCCGACACAACGACTTTTCCAAGGTCAAGGTCTTTGTTTTGATCTACGCTCCAGGTCTGAAGGACACTGCAGTGGATACTGCTACGAGTAACCTTCCACCAGCTTCACTCAGCTCTTCATTTTCTAACATCGGACACGATCAAGCTCAAACTCCTGGCGAGGAAGTGAAGAACCCTATGTAAGTTGTTAACCTGTTTATGTGGAATCCTACTAACCGTTCAGGTCTTCTGGAAGCCCTGGGTTCAACTCTGTTTACTCGCAGGCTTTGGCTCTGGTTGAGAAGGAGACTATGGTTCTCCCTTTCACCACGCCCAATGGCCATGTTCACATCCTCCGTCATCTCCAGCCAGAGGTCATCTACCTTCAGAAGGCCCTGTCTGGAGAAGACGGCAGCACCATCACAACTCTTCAGACCTGGCTTCGTCACGATGTCATCCTCGTTGTCGGGGCTGACGGTGGCTCTGGTGGTCTGGCAGATAGTGAGTCGGAAGCTGAGAGAGCTGGAAAGAGTCAGGAGTGGTGGCAGAGGCCTGAGAGAGTTGGCCGAGGACGCGGTGTCGTGGTTGTCGATAGCACCAGGCTAAACGACGACTGGGCACGCCGCGTTCAGGGCCAGGAGTGATTTATGAACTGGCAGAAGATACCAAGCTTTTGACATTTAGTTATGCGAGCAGGATAGGAACTTATGTAGTTGGAAATACGGGACATGCTGCTTTTTGTTGATGAAACTGTTGATATTCTAATTGCATGATTATTGACTGAAGAGAAAAACCCCAAATTACCCATCTTGGTAATATTTCCCTTTCTGCTTCAACTCTCTCAAATGCCCATCTCTGTCTCCCGATGCTGGTTGCCGCGCTCACGTGACCCACCTCACCTTTCGGCGTCAGCCACCTCAGGCCAGGGAACGAACCACACCCGTGATGCGGCGACTAAGCGTGCAACTTCATCAAAAGAACACCTGACTACCATACAACACTACAGGCTTCTGCAGACGTCTAGACGGCGGTATCGATTTATCCTTGACCTCTAATAGATCATACCTATTGATTTTGAGTTGCGCTGCATTTGACGACCTGCGCCCTCAACTCCGACCCCCTCGGCTCCTCCAACGTAACTCCAGGCGACGTGCGACCAACAGCCATCATCGATCAAAGGCATCCCGACCTCGGACCTGGCGTCGCGCCATTGCGAATCCATCATCCATGTTTGCGCCGTGATATCATCACTTTGATTGACACCGATCTGATACCGGCGGCCGAGAGAAGCCGTCTTACCTGCTGCCCCCCGCGGCGCAGCGCGACTTCAACACGATGGCGCCAGTCGGACCTGTTGTCCATCAAAATGTCGCCACAAAAGCCAAACGTCCCATCCCGCCGGGAATCCAGACCAATGGAGTTATATCTTCTTCAAAATCCTCGCCCTCCCCGTTAATGTCGGCAAAGAAACCACCTCCGAGCGCGAAGCAACCGCCGCACTCTGCCAGCGAGCGGGCTATAACCGCGTCAACCGTGCGGCCCATCAACCGAGCACGCCGAGAAACCGCATCGCAACTCGCAGGCAGGCATTCAAGAAACAGCGCCGGCCTTCGCTCAGCATCCATGGCTGCAGACACAACACCGCATGATGCGGAGCCTCCACCTTATGGTATACCACCCTGCTGACTGACGTCTTGTCCGGTTAGCCGCTAACTTGCCCACAGTGGTTACCGACAGCTACATCCTGAAGAAGTTCGCCGGTCGACCACCATCACTGATAATTCATATGCACCCGACACATTTTCGATTCGATAACCAAGATGGCATGTTTCCGTATAAGTCACCGATGAAACTGTTCATCGATCACATCCGGAGTCGCACGGTTCCTCACGACCTTCTCCAACATCTTACTGATGCGGGCGTACCATTCTACGAAGGCTGTCTCATTGTTCAAGTCCACGACCACAAGTCCGTCGCCCAAGCAAAAGATGTCGCCAAGCCCACACCAGCCAAGGGGTCGGTGGTGCCGTCCTCCATACACAATTATAACCAATATCTCACGCCTTCCCCCTTTGTCCCTTTTCCCAAGGAAAGCTTGTCATCGGACGGCAACGTTAAGGGTGGGGATTCAAAGGACAAACCCGCTGAAGAAAAGAACAAGGAAAGCACTGTTGCCGCTCCCGTTCCCGAGGATGTGAAAGGAAAGACGAACAAGCCGAAAGTGTTTACGGTTGTACTACATCCTACTGCACTCAGCCTCCAGATGGACTTGTTGATTAAGGGTTCTACTCCCAAGGACGGCGACGGCATCTCTGCCATTCCACCTCCAACACCAATGTCCATGGTTCCACCAACACCGACCGCCACCAGCATGCCACCACCAGCTAAGCGACAGAAGCGTGAAAAGACAGAACTTGACGGGAGCAACATCCATGCTGCAGAGGGCCAAATTCTACTGGCTACGACTGCACCTTTAATGCTAGAGCCAACCAAGAACATTGAGGAAACGATTGTTCTCCTTGAGGCCATGTCTCATCCCAAGCACTCTGAAGCACCACCGCAACCCAAGACTCGCAAGAGGACTGTGGCCGAGGTGGCTGCTGATGAAGCCGCTGCCGCTGAGGAGGAACGCTACATGCTCTTTGGTGACGAGCGGTTGTCTTCAAGCATGGCTGGCGCTCAGAATGGCGGTGCAGCAGATGGAGATGCCTCGGGAGGTGCAACCTTTGAACCAAGATTCGAGAGATTTAAGGTCCTCGCCGATATCAAGCGAGAACATGCCGAGAAGAAGGAGCAAGAGAAGCTCAAGCAACAGGAGAATGACCGACGACTCCAGCAACAGAGACAGCAGCAGCAACAGGAAGCGGTTGTACTGGCTCAAAGACAGGCTGCAGAGCAAGAGCGTACTCGACGAGAAGCTGCTGCTAGGGAGGCTCAGCTACGACAAGCAGAGGCTCAGCGACAAGCGCAAGCCCGCGCGGCCGCCTCTACACCAAGCAACCAGAACAATGCCAGGCCCAACACGGCTCAACCCCAGCATGCCCATCCCCAGAATAACACAATGGCGAATGGAGTCACCAACGCAGTCAACGGGGCTACACAGAACGCTGTTGCTAATAACCAACAAAACCAGGCCCAGGCCCAGGCCCAGGCACAGGCACAGGCACAGGCTCAAGCACAGGCTCAAGCTCAAGCCCAAGCTCAGGCTCAGGCTCAGGCTCAACCCAGGTTCCAGGCCCAGATCACACAACCACCGGCCTCTTCTCCCGTTGCTCGGCAAGGTACTCCTCAAAACATGTCGTCTCCTATGGTCGCGAGCGTCCCGATGCAGCAGACCAACTCTGGAATGGCAGGAAGCCCGCCACGACCAGCCTCGGTTGTCCAGAATGCACCTATGTCGGTGCCCATGGCGCATAATATGTCTTCTAGAGGCAGCCAGCAGAGCCATCCATCTGGAACACCACGCATCCCTCACTCTACGCCTAACATGTCTCATGGCACGCCTATCAACCGACCTGCGATGACGTCGACCCCTCGCATGACTCAGGCCAGCCCACCCCCTAACATGATGGCTCAGAATTCGCAGATGGGACAGGCCATGATGATGAACAACCAGAACATGAACCAAGCGAACCAGCAGGCCATCGCTCAAGTCGCGGCTCACCAACGAGCCATTGCTCAGCAGCAACACATGGCGGCAATGCAGAATGGTGTTAATAACGGCAACATGAACGGTCAAATGTCACCTCAGCAGCAACAACAGATGATGCAGATGATGCAACGCCAGTTGATGTTGCAGCAGCAGGCGCAACAGTCCCAGGGACAGCATCAGCAAGCACAGCAGGGCGGCAACATGATGACCCAACAACTGGCCCAGCAATATGCCCAGCAGATCCAGAACATGTCAGGCAACCAGATGCGGCAGATGACGCCACAGATGCAGGCTCAATTCCAGCAAATGATGCGCATGCAGCAGGTTAATGGCCAAATGGGTAACAACATGCAGGGCCAGGTTAACGGCCAGATGATGAACGGAAACAACGTGAATATCCAAGCTCTTCAAGCTATGCAGCAGCAACAGGCTCAACGGCAGGCTCAGGCACAACAAGCTCAGCAGCAACAGCAGCAGCAGAACCAACAACAGCCTCAGCAAGGACAGCAGCAAATGGGTAATAACCCCATCCAGTCTCAGATCCAGCATAATGCGCGGGTCATCTACCACCAACTGTTGCAGCAAGCCATTCTTAAGCACGGCTCTCAAGACAGGATCCCAGCGGAGATCAATGAGAAGCTCAAGCAAACCAGCATCTCACGAGCTCAAAACCTGTTCCAGCAAGGGATGATACAGCGTAGGAATCAGCAGCAGCTCATGATGCAACAGCAGCAGCAGCAACAAATGCAGCAGATGCAACAACAGCAAATGCAGCAGCAGCAGTTGCAGCAGCAGCAGCAAATGCAACAGATGCAAGGAATGAACAACATGATGGGTCCCCAAGGAGGGATGTGATGAGTGTCGGACGGAGGAAGGACTAGACACGACAAGCAACAAACTTGATTTGCATGGGCTGAGTTGGAGTTTCGGCCGGGTAGTGTATTTGTTATTTTTTCAAGGGTTCTCTTCGACTTTGGAGTTGATGTTTTATACCCCGCGGAAAGCGTTGAATTCGGATCAAGGGTTTTCAATCAAGGCCATCATCAATGGGATGGATGCGAGTATGGCTCTCACAATTTGGGTGGGCTTGGTCATTAATTGCTAGGAACGGCAATGGGTTGGTTGTTGCCTGGTGTTTTCGGATATGTTGGGAGATGTGTTTTTGCCAAGTAGTCTTAAAATGGATGCTTTCACGAGTGTATCGACAGGTTTAGGTAATGAGTATAAACGATGAGTTATTCTTTGATCGCTTGACAACTGCCAAGAGATAGATGTCTTGAAGGTTGGTGTTGAATGCCAGCGCAGTCGCGTCGAGTGTCACGTGCGTGGAAGTGCCGGCGCAAGATGACACAAGCGCCAAGGCCGAGAGACCAAGCTTGGTCATGTCGTCGACGCTAGAGACCCAAACCCGCGATAGCTCAAACTCCAGGCAACGCAACGTGACCATTTCATCACGCATCTGCTCAACGGCACGCGACAGATATTCCTCCGACAGTCCCCTGGTTCTGACAAAGCAGCAGAATTTCCACGGTTCCTTTTCATCCGACTTGCCGCAACGCCCCCGGCTTCGTCCTTCTTTCTATTGACATTTCTCCTATCTCGTCGTCAGGATGCATCGGCCGGAGCTATTCTCGTTTCTGCTGCCTCTGCTGGCAACGTCGGTTTACGGCGCAGAGAACCTCGACTGCTCGAATATCCGGGTAGATGGCCAGAAGTTTGACCTGTCCAAGCTCAAAGGCGCGCACTCGGTTGTCACGACCCTCCTCGAGCCCAGCACTATGGAGCACCACAACACAACATACACATTGGACGTATGTGGCCCTCTAGAGAAGAAGGGAGCAAACAAGTGCCCCAACGGCACGAGAGGTATGTATCTAGGTTGATACTGGCGCTGGAAGCTCGTGGCTAACTAATGGCAGTGTGCGCCATCACTCACCTTCTCGGCAACGACACCAAAGGCGAGTCTGATACCATCATAAAGGTGGCAGCTATAGCGGGTAACCTCGAGAACGCCGGCGGCTCCCGATTCGACGTGACTCCCACAAGACTCAAGACGAGCGACTCAAATTCCGACAGACAAAAGGAGGGCCTTCGGCTAGTCCTCAGTGGTGGAAAGTATCCCCTCAAGGGCAAGGCCCCGCCAAAGGAGATAACGGATCAAAAGGCCATTATCGAGTTCCTCTGCGACCCGGACAAGGAGGGCACGGAAGGAGAGTGGGTCTGGGGGGAGGGAAGCGGCAAGCTCAAGGCCCGAGACGATGAGAAGAAGGAGGGCGATGACAAGGAAAAGGAGGGCGATAAGGACGGTGATAAGGATGGTGAGGAGTCTACGATTGAGCACCAGCTCAAGCACGACAATGCCACCCTTATCTGGGACAGCTATGGAAGAGAAAAGGATGTCGATGTCCTGCGCTTGACATGGTACACCAAGTACGCCTGCGAGAGCCAATCCGAAGGTGGCGATGGTGACAGCAGCGCCCACTGGGGCTTCTTTACCTGGTTTATCGTCATGTGAGTATCTCAAGTCGGTTTTCATGCCGCACACTGACACATTTTTACAGCGCCTTCCTGGGCATCGCCGGCTACCTCATCTTTGCGTCGTGGATCAACTTTACGCGCTACGGCGCCCGAGGCTGGGATCTCCTCCCCCACAGCGACACCATCCGCGACATCCCATACCTACTCAAGGACTGGATCCGCCGGGTGCTCAACACCGTGCAGGGAACCGGCAGTCGAGGCGGATACAGCGCGGTCTAAGCATAGACGCGTGTTTGCTTTTCATACTTCATTTACACCAAGGTGAAATGGCCTATCCTGGCCTGTTAGGGAGGGATTTGGTATGGCGCTTCAGGCTGGACAAGCTTGCTCTCTGGTTGGAATTGTATACATAGTGTGGTGATTTTTCTATCGTCATGGGCTCGGGGGGTTCTTCAACATGTAATTGGGTGTTTAGATTCAGATTCAGAGAGGCAATGCAGTGCTGGGTTTGTGGCCTGGTTGTTAATGCTGGGCATGCGATGTTTCCTGTCATATTGAGCTCTTGAGACCAGGAGTGATGGCATTCTAGTCCTTGTCATGGTATAAGCCATGACCCATATGTCTACCATGACTGTTCGGCCCCAGCTTCAAGGTCCGGAACTTGCTCCGAGGTTCATGATACAGGAACTATGACTGAGTTCAAGTACCGCAAGTCACGACACAACCGAGGTCCCCCACGGGTATTCATTTCCTAGAGAACATGGATCACACCTGTATCTGAATCATACTATATCCCTCTATCCCACGAAAAAGAACGGGATGACTAGACCAAAACGTGGGTATAAGCTCCGTTCAAAATGGGGCCCCCTCAGCTAAAGCGCGCGGGATGCAGACAGTTCGCCGTGACTCTAAGCATGCAAGAGACGACGAAAAAGGGAATGATTCCAAATAATGAACCAATTGGATCCCTGTGCCTGGGTGAGTCGAAGATGTGAGCAAGTCTTTCAGCTGCGATAGCGGAGGGTGTTTTTTTTTCTTTTATCGATAAGATCTACAACCACAAATAATTCTCAATCCCCCTCCAAACCCCTCTACCACTTCAACCACATTCTCTCTACCTTGTTTAAACGATAGAATCCTACGAAGAAAGGAATTCAATCATTTGAAATGGCTTTCCGACTTCCTGTACGATGCCGATTGGCGTCCATCGCCGCCGCGTCTCGCCCTCGGATCGCCTACCGAGCCATCTCTTCGCTTCCCAATGCCGACCCGTCGCCCGAGTCCAAGAGCGCTGCCATCGTCAACGAGCACGCGCCTTACATGGTTGCTACATATGCCCGTCCTCCTCCTGTTTTTGTCAAGGGTGAGGGCTCGTGGCTTTGGGATGCAGAGGATCGCAAGTTTTTGGATTTCACCGCCGGTATCGCTGTCAATGGCCTCGGACATTGTGATCCCGAGTTTACTAGGCTCTTGACCGAGCAGGTATGTTTCAACAACAATTGATCAATGACATGGTACTTATTTGTGTGTGTTTTAGGCCAAGACTCTCGTTCACGCTTCCAACCTCTACTATAACCCCTGGACCGGCGCCCTCTCCAAGCTCCTCGTCGAAAAGACCCTCGAGTCGGGCGCCATGCACAACGCCGCATCCGTATTTGTCTGCAACTCGGGTTCCGAGGCCAACGAGGCCGCCATAAAATTCGCCCGCAAAGCCGGAAAGATTACAGACCCCTCTGGCGAAAAGGTCGAGATTGTTTCCTTTAAGAACGGCTTCCACGGTCGAACCATGGGTAGTCTCTCCGCTACGCCTAATCCCAAGTATCAGAAGCCTTTTGCGCCCATGGTTCCTGGGTTCAAGGTTGGAAATTATAATGATGTTGAGGGTATTAATGAGCTTGTTACTGAAAAGACTTGCGGTGTCATTGTTGAGCCTATTCAGGGTGAGGGTGGCGTTACACCCGCGACGGAAGAGTTCCTTGTCGCCCTGGCCAAGCGCTGCCGTGAAGTCGGCGCTGTGCTCATTTACGACGAGATTCAGTGTGGTCTCGGTCGAACGGGTACCTTCTGGGCTCATGGCACTCTTCCTAAGGAGGCTCACCCGGATATCCTCACTACAGCCAAGGCTCTTGGTAACGGATTCCCTATCGGTGCGGTGCTCGTGACACAGGATGTGGCCGATAAGATGAAGGTGGGCGACCACGGAACCACCTTTGGCGGTAACCCCCTCGCCTGCCGACTGGCGCACTACATCGTCGGGCGTCTCTCCGACAAGCAGCTCCAGGCCTCAGTGACAGCCAAGTCGGAGGTCTTCCGACAGCGCTTCACCAAGCTCCAGGAAAAGTACCCAGAGCTAGTCAAGGAAGTCCGCGGTCGTGGTCTCATCCTCGGTCTCCAACTCTCCGAGGACCCTACGCCCATCATCAAGGCTGCTCGCGAGAGGGGTCTCCTCATCATCACAGCCGGCACAAACACCCTTCGATTTGTGCCGAGTCTGACAGTCACGGATGAGGAGATTACACAGGGTCTGGATATCCTCGAGGCTGCTATTGAGGCGACCCGGTAAAAGAGGATGAAGAGCTCGGTGTTGGAGGTGCTGGATATTTTTGAGTTTTCTTGTTCTTGGTTCTATTAGGCACTGGTTAAGATTTGGGTTGAGGAACGTAAAAAGTAAGGTTAGATAATAAGACAGATATCATTCACTTACTGTCGTGCAGACATGTGGCTTATGAAGGGCCGACTTGACATGGCCTGGTATTTAAACCCTCGCTTCCTCCTCATTGAGTTGCTCTGTGTTATTCCCTTCAACATCAGTGACCCATGGAGCTCCCTCCAGATGGTCTAGGAGCATTGTCTTTATAACCAGCGTCACCGTCGATGGATTCTATTCCCCTTAGTACCTGTTCTTTTCAACATGGCCGCGGCGAAGACGCTTCGCGTCGTCGTCACCATCGCACGGTGTCGTTTGTGTTTTAAGACAATCTGCTCCTGTTTGATGAGCTATGATGAAACGGCCTTGTAAGGCTCTGAGCTCATTTAACTAGACAGACTGAGATATCCAAGTGAGTCAACTTCATCAAGTGGTGAAGCGCAATACATTCACGTCAAGTGGACAAGTCAAGAAAAGTAACCAAAAAAAGTCATCCAGATGTCAATTCATGCATGGCTGTATATGTCCGCAAAACCCAACTAAACCAGAAGCAATGCTGTGCAAAAATCACACCGCACGACGCCAGAGCCTTGATCCTCACACCGAGTGATCGATGATGTCTTCTATCCCTCATCTTATCTAGCAAATAGCATGGGTCTTGCCAGTCTTTCCCTGAAGCGAATGTTGCTCGTTCTATGATTGTCAGTGGATATGCTTCCAGGTGAAGATC